CAAAGCATCTTCATGTAGAAGCCAACCTTAGAGTAAAAATGACCATAAAGTGTAACGTAACTAATCATGGAATTGCCCAAGAATACATTAGAATGCACATCACCAAATTGCACCATCCCCCCCCCCTATAAAAACGTCCCCACATCCGAGTCATTCCCTTTGCTATGACAGAAATCCTGGACCAGTGCCTACTGACCAGGACCAGTACTGCCTCAGAGGTACTGGTCCTGCTGGACCAGTGCCTCCAATTATCAGTTTTTCACCCTGTATATATATGGTCATGGTCATATATTAGTTTGTGGTTTAATGTCATTTATGTTAAGGTTAGGGTTAGGGTTAGGATTATCAACAATTAATCATTAATCATTAATGATATCAAAGTTGGGAACACTCCTAATGGAGCGTTAGCCAGTAACTTAGAGGTTATTTAGTTGTTATGTCAAATTTTAATATTCAATGTGGAAGACAAATGACAACCTGCACTCAATGCACAATATCTAGCGGTATTTATTATAGAACGTTGTATGTGCTCCGTCTTCTGGCAACGACCAAAGCTGCACGTACATTTTAATCTCGCATGGCCAGACGATTTTAGCGTAATTTTTTTTTGGCAGGCTTTTCCAATACTTATCGGAGATGTTGACCCAAGTGGAGATCTCAATGCTAACATTATTCATAGACCTTTTCCAAATCTACAGTGTAAGCTAGCAGCACAGGTGAGTAGCTCATTGAATTCAGCAGCGATAGATATGGCCTCTAGCATCATTGAATGATAAATATCGTATAGGTTGTAGGAACATACACCAAGGAATATTTTGTAGTGAATGATTCCCTTGAAGCAAAAAACATTTCATGGTGATCGTGTGTGTGTGTGTGTCTATTGCACATACGTGTTAGTTCTGCGTCTGCGTGCTTTGTTATTCCAAAACCGAAAATTACGTGTCATTTTATGTATTTGTTATTCTTAAATGTGTGCACGTGCATCTCGTTATCTAGATTCAGAAGTCGAAGTTTGTGGCACAACAATTAACAACAGACTATAAAGGATCGGATTTCACTGCATCGTTGACGCTAGGAAATATAGATGTAATCACTGAGTCGGGTAAGTCGGCAGACATGTTTGTTCGGGGGCTGCGGGAAACAGTCGGCGCATTTTCGAGGGAGAAAATGCATTTACGGTGTTGTTCTGTGTATTTGTTAACAAATATGCGAAGACAGGGAGCTATGCTATCTGTCTGCCATGCAGTCAAGTACACGTATGTGATATATGGACCGAGTCGACAAAATTTAATATTGTCACCACATATGTTGAGGAAGCATAAGGCTGTGAAAGGAATTAGCCTAAATTAGTAAAGCTGTTAAGAGTTATAAGCACATAGTGTTGTGTGTAAGTATATATGAAAACTATTGATATAACTATATAATATATGTTCCTTTGTAAAGTGTATTTGCCTTGTGATAGGAGGCGACTCCTCATCTCTTTCAAGCTAGCTCTTACATACAAGATATACATATCTTTACAAGATGTGTTCCGCGATGCATCTGTAATCTACGGAGATTCTTACTTTAATAGACTGCTACGAAGTAGAGACTCTAAATGCTAAAAATGTGCACACGGAGAAGAACACTCCCGGCCTTTTATTTTTTTTTTTTTTTTTTTTTTTTTTTTTTTTTTTTTTTTTTTTTTTTTTAGCCGAAAACTATCGAACGTTTTTTTACAGGTTTATATGAACATTATTTATTTATAACCTAACATATAAAATACATGCTATGGCACTGCGGGGTGCGTTCTAAAATTGTCTAGCTTCTTAATAGTTTAAGAAAAGTCGCTCGAATCATACGTAGTTTATTTGAAGTCATTTTCAATCGGGACCCGTGTATCTTTGATAGTCCATCGTGGCTGTTGCTATGTGACGGTTGCGGCAGCGTTGTTGCCGTCATCTCAATTTCGAGCCGGAGGATGCCTCTAAGCCCTGAATAAACAGTTCAGTTGTAATTATAATGGTATACATCGACGAGAAATAACAGTAAATGCTGCAAGAAAAACCGACAGTATAAATATACGAAAAATTTAACTGAAAAATTTAACTGAAAAGGGTTCTCGTTACAATGCCTTATCGTTCAACGATCAATAATCGCAAAGTAAGTTTACGGAATAAAACGTTGAGAACTAAAACACATAAAAAACGACAGACAGTAGGACTTCCTACTGAGAAACTTACTGGATCTGCGAGTAGTCGTCTGCTTCGATTCAGTTTTTGTGTGAGTTGACGGTTTGTGTCAGTCCCAGGTAGAGCTGCATGGTCACGAGAGAGAGCAGCAGTGTGAACGCCGACTTTGTTAGAAGCAGCGGCCAGGAGCCCAGACCGACCGATCGAATCAACACCCTGTAGACATGTGAGAGAGAACATGCTCAAAACACATACAGCTAATGCTGGTATCATAGCTTGCTCTGATGTTAACAGATACCTTTAGATTGTTTTCTGATGTAACAGATACGCTTGTAGATTGCTGCTGATGTTAACAGAATACCTTAGAATTGCTCTGATGTTAACAGATACCTTTAGATTGCTCTGATGTTAACAGATACCTTTATATTGTTCTGATGTTAACAGATACCTTTAGATTGCTCTGATGTTAACAGATACCTTTAGATTGTTCTGATGTTAACAGATATCTTTAGATTGCTCCAATGTTAACAGATACCTTTAGATTGTTCTGATGTTAACAGATACCTTTAGATTGCTCTGACGTTAACAGATACCTTTAGATTGCTTTGATGTTAACAAATACCTTTAGATTGCTCTAACATTAACAGATACCTGAGGTACCTTGGGTGCTCAGACGTGCAAACCCCACAGAGTATAAGCACAAACGAAATGGCTCGTTAATCTACACATGCTGCTTATTCGATACCGCTAACGATGCATGGCATCCACCCTGGCGTGACATCGTGAGACTGGACTCTTCACGTGCACACTCTACGATAAGAGGAGCATACTCTACAATAAGAGGTGCATACTCTACAATAAGAGGAGGCAACACTCTAACGAAAGAGGAGCATACTCTACAATAAGGTGCATTACTCTACAATTAAGAGGAGGGCATACTCGTAGCAAATAAGAGGTGCATACTCGTAGCAATAAGAGGAACATAACTCTACAATAAGCAGGAGCAATACTGCTACAATAAGAGGAGGGCATACCTCTACATAAGAGCCACTCATACAAATAAGAGGTGCATACTGCTACAATAAGAGGTGCATACTCTACAAATAAAGAGGAGCAATACTCTACGATAAGAGGAAGCATAGCTCTAGCGCATAAGAGGAGGGCAATAAGCTCTACAATAATAGTGCATACTCTAACAATAAGAGGAGGCATAACTG